AACTGAAAAGGCTCATATAATGTAGCAGCAGCAATACAGCTTTGACAACGGTATACATTTTGGGAAATTGTCAGAGTTTGGATCCATCAAGGACCTCGTATCGGCTGCTAGGATATCGACAAGCCCTACAACCTGAAAATCAGAAGCACTTACTCCAATTTCTGAAAAAAACACAATTACTACAGACATATTTAAACAATACCATCTTCATACACTAACTCACAACGTAAATCAGAAATAACCTATGCAGTTGTAACAACACATTTAAACAAACATCCTAACAACATACACATCTAAAAAAAATACAAAAAGATCCCTACAGACATATTGAAATGTAATTCAATAATCAATATGGTGCCTCTAACCTATATAGTTGAACACGGCACCTAAAATATAATCAAATAAATATGTTGACTTCAAATGTAAAAATAAAAACAATAAAAACTTTTATTTAATAATAGTAAAATTAAAAAGAAAAATTGATGTATAATGTTTTAATATAGAAGCTGAACAAAGAGTGAGAAACATCATATATTAAAATTAATAGAAGCGATTAATTATATAGTAGAAATCAGTAAAGTAATAACTAAAAATGGCTTTTTTTGACATATGAATACCAAAAAATCAATTTACATGAGAATTCCGATAATTTGACAAGGTTATTACAGCAAACTTTATACTTTCCAAGAGTTATCTTGTTATCCAGAACTGCTTCACTTTCTAAAGCTTGTAAGGTGAGGAAATTTATATCTCCCACACTAAATATTTATTGAGACACCCAGAGATAATTATAAAACAACAACGTTATTTGAACGGTAACAATGCCATAACCTCCTACAGAAGCGGAGTGGTGAAAATTACCCTCTCAATAAAAAATTTTTTTTTAGTTTTTAATTTTACCTCTAAAATATTCGGAAAATAGTTTGAACCCAAAAATTTTATTTTACTATATTTTATTTAGGTAGAAGTATAATAATAACAAAAAGTAATATATTTAGAAATATAATATTAGCAAAATTATTAATAATAACATTTTTTATTAGTTAAATATAAGTTATAGAAAGTGTAAAGAAGTTTTGGGAATAAAAAGAGGCCCTAAATCTCCACTAAATGTCACTGTATTGTAGAGGGGGGAAAAAAGAAAAAACTGTATTCTATAAATGACATTTCAGTTATGATATGAGCTTTCTAAGAGAAACAACTGATGCAATAAATGTTGTAGTTGTCTTATGTTTGGGTTATTTTAAAATTTTACCATGTAATCAAAGAGCTTTTGCAGACCGGATTGAAGGTGTTGGCGGGCCATAGTTTGGAGACCCTTGGTCTAGATCATAGATGGGGAACTGTGGCCTCAAATGGTTTTGCATGATATTTATGAATCTAGCTCTAGAATTCATTAATATTAAATTATTTAGGTTACAAAAATTCGAAAATTAATAGAATTAAGTTGAATATATGTATATAGTATGTATTCACTGACAAATAAAAATAGGAACAGTAAAATATAAAAAATTGTGCGGCCTCCATTAGCACTGCCTAACGACAAGGCGGCTTTTAATAATAAAAAGGTTCTTAACCTATAGTCTAGATGTATTTTCCAAAGCCATTTCCCCCCTTTCAATCTCAATAATAAATTTAACCCTTTACTAAGTATATATAATAATTATCTACCAAATATAATATAAATAATTAAAACTTATATATTTTTTCATAAAATCTTCAAAATTGCCTGAAATGTCGTCGAGATGCAGAAATGAAATAAAGGATTTTATAAAATACATCAGGGTTGCCTCACACTGCTTAGCGGTAGATGAGGATGAATTAAGTAAGTAATATAAGGGTTAAAAAAATATTATTTTCGATATTACAAACTTTATTTGCTTATATATTTTAATTTTAGACAGTGAAACAGTTATTTTTGTTCAAGAGCAGCACAATTAAGTCTTTTTTATGACTATAGACTAAGTAAAGTAAAACCAAAATACTAAAATAAATCTTGAGTTGTTTTATAAGGTGTATCCTCACATAACAAAAGCATTTTAACAGAAACTTGACCATTAATTAACAAAGTTATGAAAATGAGCTTTTGTACCAAATAATACATTGTCCAAAAAATCATTTGAATATATCAATGTAATATTTTAAAAACGTCAATTTCTTTCAAAATTTCAGTTTAATATTATATCTTTTAAAATTATTGGATGTACTGTTAAATACGAAGGATGAAAACAAGAAACGACTGAGGTACCTGCTATGTCCTTTACAGTATCTTTTCATCATAGCAGTAATGTTGAATAAGAGCATAAATAATCTCATATAAACTTCATAAAAAATATATCAACTCAGAACATTTATAACAAATATTTTTTAAGATATAAAAAAAAAAATTTTACTAAGAGAGATCAAATAAAAACTAATTTCTCTCTTTATTATAAAGTAAAATAACCTACTAATAAGAAACAAAATAAATCAACATTAAATAATGATATATAACATAAGTAATGTAAAGTAAAATATGAAAAGTGAAGTGGATAAAGTGAATGAAAAAAAAAAATAATATAGCGAGACTCAAATTCTCTAATTTAATTTCTTGAGGTCCAATTTTAAAAATTATTTTGTTCTTAATAGTACTTTTTTTTGGCTCAGTTTTTAAAAAAATCATAAATTATTTGCAATTTTTTTCATCATCACCTAACTATACACAGATACTTTAGGAAAATTTCTTAGTTTAATAACCTTTAAGATAGATGATTTAAATTGGAAGAGAATGTATTGTGCCTAGGAAGTATTGCCTTCTGAAATAGGGGAAGAGCCACCCTAACTCAGCATAGTAGTGGGAAACACGGGAACATCTTGGGGTTCCATTGATAAATCTTACGAAGCTATTCATAATTCTTTTTAGTCTGTCTCTGAGTTCCATCGAGAGGCCCCCGTAAACCACGCAGCCGTAGTCAAGGTGGGGGAAGATGAAGGAAGATACTAGGAGTCTACGTGTAGTGGGCGTGGGTAGGAGAAGAATAGGGGAAGAAGGATTAGAAATTTTATTTTTATTTATTTTTTCCATAAGGTAGAAAATACTGATTTTTGAATGGAAGAAATTATAGATGAAAAGGAGAACCGGAAGGATTTCGGGTAGGTATAATTTGATTAATTTGGTGGGAATGCCATCTGGACCAACAGATTTAGAATATGATTTAGTCACAGCAGATATGAGGCCTGTGGACGAAATGTCTGAAAAGTAAAAGTCCACATCGTTGAAAGATGTTCCAGGAGAAAAGGAGGAGGTAAATGTAGAAGTGGAAAAGGAAGCAAATATAAAATGTAAATTTAAAACATCTGGTGAAACTGGAAGGACTGCTGAGGGAGAGGATCTAGAGAGTTCACAAGGGAGAGTTTAATAAGGAGTACCCATTTGGATTTGGAATCGAATGCTGATGAGAGGGCTTCATGGAAATAGGTCGATTTGACTAGTCTGATAGTGGTTTTTGTTGGGCTGCAGAGCACTTCAAACACTTGATAGTCGTCAGCCAGCTTAGTATGGCTAAACAGGCAGTCACACCTCTACAGGCAGCTCACACCTCTTCTGAAGATCCTTAATTAGCTGACACATACAGGGAGCCGGACGGCAACGAAAGGTAGAGGTTTTAAGGGGAGCATGGGCATCAAAGATATCAAGACTGGAGGTAAGAATGTCAACCATGGAATCAATTGAGGAACAGAAATGTATTCTATTCCAATAAAGGGTTTCCAGGTTGGGTAAGATTTTTTCTTGAGTAAGGCCATCAAGGTTATGGAAAGTTATGGTTCTGGGTAGGATCGAGGAGTTTGGATATAATATCATATTTGGATTAGGTCATGCGACAATAAAAAGGAGGTTATTGGAAAGAGGAGGTTCTGAGCGGAGTCAATAATGTACAGGTCCAACCAATCGTTGGACCTGGTGGTGTGATGATTGCAGAAAAGGGAACAATGAAAAGATGAAAAGAGAAAAAAAGGTTTTCAAGATATGATTTATCATTGGAGTCGGAAAGGAAATCAGTGTTAAAGTCACCGGAAATGATAATTTCGGAATAAGCGGGCACAAAGTTGAAGAGGGTGTGATGAAAAATAAAACACAAACAAATTTTTTTTCGTAAAATAATGATTTGTTTTACCTGGAAGAAGGTTAGCGGAAAATAAATAATTTTTAAATATTAATTTTAAGTTGTATAATAGCCAACATATGATAGAGAAAAACAAAAGATAGTTTGGGAGACAGATGGCGGAACCTCTTGAATGTAGAGGGATGCTACGTAATTGTTGATGAAACCAATTTTATTTGTGTGTGAAATACTTTAGTTTTACGGGGTATGGTGGATTTTCCTTATATCCCACCTGGCACCTGTGAGTGTTGTTTGATTTTAGAAGTTAATGTTGAATAAACATTTTGACAATTTGAAGAAGTGGGCAAAGGAAACCCTGATGACGCTAACTCAAACAACTTCAAGTTCTCACTTTCTCAGATGACTCAATGTGCAAATTGGACTAAGTACACCATTGAGATTTTGTAAATAAGTAATATAAATTTTTTTCTATCAATTTTTTTTTTTTTACTAACATGAATAATTAGTACATTGAATAATCATGGTTCATGCTTAGTTTCGTAATGTTTTCTTATTCTTTTCTTTGATAATTCAATTTTATTATCTTTTTTTGTTTTATAAAACTAATTTCTTGTTTATAATTTTCATTTTCTTTAACTGTTATTTTTGTAAATAGAAATAAAGAAATTCATTATCAGCATTAATAATATACAATTATTCTCTTATTTTCTTTTGTTTATTTGTAGGTTTTGTAGCTCACTCTAGTTCCAAATCGTTTTTTTTATTCAATAAATATATATATGTATATTTAATAACTTTGAAGACTGAAGTATTCTAAAGAATACCCACAAAAACATTTTAATAGTTATATTAATAAAAACAAATAACTCCATCACTAAGTGATAACAGAACACTTACTCAGGTAGAGGTGGGAAGTCTTCAACACTACTTCTGGAAGGACGGCCACGTCCGCGTCCTCTCCAAGAACCCCTGCTCTTAGCATAGGCTTCTTCTTCTTCCCACCGTCTTGTATACTTATTTGGGCCACGCCTAATAGAGAGAGAGAGAAAGAAAATAAGTTTGTTACTATGTAAAGATCAAGAACTAATTTTTTAAAAACTAATAATTAGAATGGTTAAGTTTTTAACACAATTAAATATCCATAAATCACCAACAATAATATAAGTGAAATTATTCTAGATTAAACCACCTAAGAAGTCCCCATAGGTTTCAGGAGGTGAGGAGGTGAGCTGAGTAATTTTTTAAAACTTAAATATGATGTTTTTGTTCATTCGTTGCTTTAAACTTCAATAATAAAAAATATTGAAGTTTGTTACAATCTCACTATCATTGAACTTTACCCATGTATCAATTGTGAGATTTTTTTAGTCTTTTCCCATGCAAGTAACCAATTAATTCCAAAGATTTGAGTAAAATAAAAATATAATTTAATATGGAGGAAGAGTAAAAAAAAAAAAATAACTAAATTTGATCAGGCAGAGAAGAAAAAAAATATATGGAAAAAATCTTGAGGTAAATGATGCAAAGCATGGCATAGAATCAAAAAGAATTAAGAAAATATCTAATAAGAAATGTAATCGAATATTTAAAAAAAAATATATAATGTAAAACAGTAACTGTTATTCATCATTTATCTAAACATTTGATTACATAAACAAATAAGATTTTAAAGCTATACTGACTTTAATGAAGATAATAAAAAAGGTCTGTGGGAAGACAATATCAAAGTGATCGTATAGTGGCCCGATGTATAACAACAGTTCATAAAACAAATATCAGAAAGTAAATAAAAAATTTAATCTTTACCACTGAAACTTACTAAGCAGATAATTAATTTGATGAATTACATAACAAATACGAGCAACATGGACATACAATTGGTTTCTTTAAATTTTAATTAATCCCTTATGTCTTCATTATCTTCCTTTTTGATGGGATGGTAGACAATCATTATTTAAGCTTTAATTCCGTATGATTAAGTTGAGGTTTATTAGGAAAAATTTTGAGATTCACCTCAACTTGTGTACAGAAATGATGTGATTTCCTATCTAATCACCTTAAAGTACCTGTGTTTTCTGCAAAAATGACTGTAATTAACTGTTGAACAGCTTTTATTTCTTGTTTTTTCGTGATATTTGATGTATTACAATAAACTCTATTGCCTAAAAACACATTTTTTATAAAAATAAAAAATTTAAAAATAATGATTTTTTAAATATTGTTAACGTAAAGTGGTTATGAAATTGGTGATTTATGAAATGAAAATTTATGAAAGTGGTTTCAAATTTTTAATGTATTTTTGTCATCTTTAAGACATAAAAGAATATTTAAAATAAAAACAAATCATATGTTTGATGGGCTGATTTTTGAGATGTAGTTAATTACTTTATCAAATTAATTAACTATTTAGTTATGGTTTTAAGTGTGGCAGAAACTATTTATTTTTTTAATATTTGCAGATAATTTTTTTAAGAGCTGAGTTTTAAGTATCCAGCTTCTGAACTATTACAAGTGTGAGAAAATGTTTTCCTTTAGTGAGTTAAGAGCCTCCTTTAGGTGGGCATAGCTATGTTAAGGGATAAGTGAAGAAAGACGAAATTGTGACATAATATTTATTGAAAATATGGATAATGATAGCTAGACTATTGAAATTGAATAAGGAATTTTTTATTAACACGTCATAATACAACCAGAAATGGTATTTATTTTAACAAAACAGTAATTTTAAAACAGAATTAAAATTGAAAATAACATTTTAATATTATTATATGGAGAGTGCTACCACTGGGTAGTAACTCTTCAAGCCTGTACATGCCATTATTTATATTTGCGCATATTTACTAGTTGTATTTGTATACAGTTGTAAATTCCATTAAATAAACAAAAAAAAATATATTATTATTAACGTTTCATGTTTTACTGTCACTATGAAACATAATTTAGAGATGGGACAATTTCCAAACCATAGCCCTGATGGTGACCTAGATGTTTGGGTTGAAACGTTGGTTAACTCATTAAAAATATTTTGATTCAAATTCCTGAAAATTTTGTTTAATCCTTATGAAACAATTATATTCCTTCTCTACATCATTATCATCCAGTTTAGCTTCAACATCTGTAGTTGGCTGTCTACATGCATCTTAATAAAATAAAATATGCTCTAGTAAAATGCTATCCTGAACTTAATTTACATACAGTAATCCTCATTATCACGGACTTGGTTAATACAAACACTCGGATGACATGAGCTAATTTCTTGGCCCTGCCAAAAACATTGTATTTTTAGGTACATTTTTAAGATATTTCTGGTCAACGTGAATTATTCGACTAACATAAATCTTTTAACAATTTAAGGCAATAGTAGAGTGAAATATTTGACTAACAAGAAATGATACTGAGTACTATTAATTCAATTTTCCAAGGGATTATTGGATTTTGTAAAGCATTCCTGGTAACCTCTCACATCAAACTCCTTATTCCTTTAGATTAAATTTCAATAGCATTCTTTCTTTACATGAAACTTTTATAAAATTAAAGAATTTTACATTAACATTATCAGAAGTCTCATATATAGTTAGCCTGAGATTTATTGATCTAAAAACTAAATTGGAAATTTTAAAAGAAGTGGATAGTAGCTCGATATCAAAAACCATTATAAAAAGTAAATCATGAATCTTTATTTTTATTGTTTAAATGGACATTTAAGGTTCACATGAAGGACCATATTAAATATAATTATTTTAAATTAAAGTTCATTAAATTACTAATTTTATTTTTATTTTTTATTTTTTACTCTTAGATGTATTCCAAATTCAAGGGAAAATTTAAGCAGTTCTTATATTGAATCTACAAAATAAGGAATAAATGAAAATAAATACAAATAGAGACAATTTTAATCAACTGGATAAGACAAACTTGTTTCGGCAGATTGTGTGAGCAATTGGTGAATTCACATTTATTTCTCATGTTTTTTTTGTTTTTTTTATTTCGTCAATAATGACAATCATTAAAAGGTTTTTTTTTTTATAAATGGCAAAAGACGTTTTCTATTATCTTTTATTAGTGTTCTATATGCATTATCAATTTCATTATTCAATCATAAATGAAAAAAATAATTAACTAGAAAAATGATATTCAAAGTGGCGGCCCCAGTCAAAGTACAGCAGATAGCAGCTGGCCCTTTGGTTGGGGGAACAGTACACTGAAACCCACACAGTACACAAATTACATCACACAACACACCCCCACATTATACACTAAGATCAATAACAGTACACACCTTAGGGTCACCTCACCTAGATAGCTGCCCCAGATGAGGGAGTGTGTCAGGACGCCCCAAGGAAGCAGTCCCTGCACCTGACTTGGGGGATGAGTATGGGTTGATATGCCCCTCCCCTTAAATCACCCTTGTCCTGAAACCTCAATGAGAAAACGGCGGATTGATAAATGGTAAAAGACATAGGAACCGTCATAAGGACACAATAAATCGACAATGGAACATTTTAATGCTTAACAGACCCGGAGGACTTCAAGCCCTACTTGACCTCCTCCGTAGATTGAAAGTTATAAAAAATTGACCTCACTGCAATCCAGGAAATTCGTTGGACTGGAACAGGAATTCTGGAGAAAAGATATCACACCATTTATTACAGCTGCCATAATAAAAACAAGAGGCTCGGCACCAGGTTTGTTGTTAAACGAAGAATGAGAGAACAAGTCATAGATTATGCTGTCATAAGTCCAAGGCTCTGTAGACTAAGGCTCAAAGGAATCATCAATAATATAAGCGTGATTACCAATCACCCGAGGAAGAAAAAGAAGATTTCTATGATGCATTGGAGAGAGAGCTCAACAGGTGCCGTTTTCATCAATCCAATTTTGCACCATCAAATTATGAGGGGCCTTATGCAAATCTTCAACTCCATATTTAATAAGCTCTACTGCAAGGCCATCCAAACCAGACTTTTGTAGTTTTTCATTTTATGGATCACTTCCATAACTTCTTCGAAATCTGGAGAGAGTTCATTCTCTTCTTCTGAGTTCTCATTTAGATTTTCCTATTGACAATTATCACATGTACATTAGCGATCCAGGAAGTCCGCTGGCTTGGAAGTGATAACTTGAAAAGAAATGTCACACCCAGTACTACAGTTGCCACGAAACCATGAGAGGAAGAGCCCGCCAACTGGTCTTAAAATTTACACTTCTCTCCCCATCCGTGCTATATCCGCCTAAAAGGAAAATTCTGTAACACCTCTTTCATCAACACTCCAAAAAATAAATTAATTAAAAATAATAATATTTGACTTATAAATTTCTAAAAAAAAAGTTGATAGAAAAAATGAATTAAAGGTCAATAAAAATGTCCTCAGGTTTAAAAAAAGCCTTCTTATAACACAATATAGCTCTGTTAAAGATGACTGTTTATTCCACCTAATACCTTGTATGAACTAAATAGATGCCAAGATAAACAAACATTTTGAAGATAAGAGGAAATATAAGAGAAACATAGAAGGGAAGGGGAAAGAAAAAGAAGTATCGGTGAAGTTCCACAAGAGGTAGTAATCTGGAACTTTAATCTTAAACTTTAATAGATTTTGAATAAAAATTTCATGTTTGATGAAATAACTTCCAATAGAAAAATATACAGTTATGGATCTTCCAATTCGCTCAAAACGCTGCCTGTTCTTCAATTTAATCGTCCACAGTGTCTATCAATCAATCTACACTCAAAGAAACAAACATGTCCTTTAGAAAAGGAATAACAAGTATATTGAAGTGTGATTACCGAAAAATATAGGATCACTTTTTTAAAAGAATTAATTTAATATTTCCATTAACTTAAATGCACAGACATGTTTTAAATTCACTGGAGAAGAAGGAGGTTCTCCAATTGATACATACTAAGCATGTGTGCAGGCACACAAAGACACAAGCACACACAAAGATAAATATTCACATTATTATTGAACACGACTGCCATGACAATTCTCAGGATTCTAGTTGAAAAAGCCACTTTAATTTAATTATATCATTAAAAATACTAATTTTATACATAATAAAAATAATAGAAAAGATTATTGACTTTTTTAAAATAAAAGAGTGTGGATCACCCTCCCATAGTAGGCCAATGTTGTGCACAGTATTGCTGCTGATATTAACTAATACATTTTCTGTTTATGTAAGTCAAACTTGATTTTTTGTTCTCTTTTCTGATGCTGTGTATTCATATTTACACTAGTATAGTACAAATTTCATCATAACTACGCAAGCATGAAAGTAAACTAACTACCAGATAACTAGTTGCTGTTCTGAGCAAGAACACAGACTATAATTTATCTTGTAGTCAGCAATCAACACGGTAAATTAAGGAGCTCTATTACATGTATAAGAAAAGACAAAAAAAAAAAACTTTTTTTAAAAAATATATCTGAGGTTGTAACATAAAAATGTCTTACCCATATCTCCTCCTCCGCCTAGCCTTGGGTGGCCCTTCCTCAACCCTTATATCATACCCGTATTGTTCTATTAACTCCTCTCTTGATTTAGGTGACTGTAAACTATCATCATAAAGGTCATGACCCCAACGTTCCTTACTCTCAAATGCTTTGGGTGTTAGATGCTTCTTACCATTTGAAGGTTCTTCACTGTAACATAATCCATAACAAAATTTAAAGAAATCAGATAAATATATTTATTTAAAATACATACTGTTTTTTGTTAATAAACTGAGATAAGACTATCTTTTTGTCTTATCTTTATTTTTTGTATTAAAAATAATACTTTAAATAGGTATTAGTACTATTTTAACTAAGTATATAAGTGTTCAGTAAGTTATATTGTGTAATAAGTTAAATAAGTATAAGTTAAACATGGATCATTCAATTTAAAACAATGACTTACTAAAGCCTGAACACGAAAACGTGTGAGTAACAAAATTCGAAGCTTGGGTTTCATGCTAATAATTTTTGTCCATTCAATTTTAACATTAAGACTTGTTTTTAGAAAATAATAATAATAAGGTATTTAAAAAAATGACCTTTTTATCAATTTCAAAGGACTGTAAATATTTTAATCCTATTTAATACTTAATAATACTTACCAATACTTAATAATCCCTTTAGAGCATTCTCTAAGCTTGTTTAATCCCATTCAACTTCTTCAAAAAAAGTCTCATTTTAGTTATTTGTTTCAAAGAAGAAACATGATAGTGTCCTACGAAATTCTCGCAATTTTAAGGAATTACTGGAGAAAAAAAATTCACAGCAGCTAAAGCAATCTGTGAAATTATTAAATATGAAGGAGGTGTCCCTGACCAGCACACTATATGGCACACTATTTGAAAAATTTAGCAGTGGAGATACAATGTTGGAAAAAAAGAAGGGTTCCAGGCGACCATTAACGGATATTGATGAAGTTCTGCAGGAAGCTGTTGAGTCAAATCCGTCCACAAGTACTCGCAAACTTGCCAGGGAGTGTGGTGTGTCAAAAGATACAGTTACTACTACTACTAATTACTACTTATTTAGATCCATTGCCTATTTTCTTTAAGGGATATAATTTGATAATTTTACGGAAGTTGAAATTGCGGTCCAAGAGTTCTTTGACAGCCATCCCAAAAAATATTATCAGCGTGGGGTCGAGCAATAGGCTAGCAGATGGCTAATGACGGTAGATAACAATGGACTATACTTTGAGTATTAATTGTATTTTATATCAAAGAAATAATAATACAAAATATTTGTTTGAAAAACGGTCATTTTTTTTTTATACACCCTATTAATTATTATAAAGATACTAATTTTTTTTATTTTAAAATCCGTTATTTTTAACCAGTCATTAGACTTAACAATTAACTGGTTATAATCTTAGCAGTAAAATAACCGAAATAAAAATAACCAATTTTTAGTACCACCGGTCGGTTATTTCCATTCCAATCTTGAATTTACTTATGTCTTATCAAGTTTCCTGCTGTTTTATATATATGTGAATAAATTTATTAACATATGTCATTGAATTTTTAGGTAACAAGTACAACAAGATCAAGAAAGATTAACAATTTACAATCAATAGATAAAATAATCTGAAATAAATATCTTACCCTTCAGATGTTCTATCATCATGTTCATAAAAGTTTCCTTTTTTTGGGATGTATTGAGGGTCACGTTTATCTTCATCACGATCTAACTTTTTATCTTTTTTGTCACTCTAGATTAAAGAAAATATAATTTAGTCATAATGATAAAAACATGTAATTACAATATAAATGATAAGGTTATAACATAATTAAGATAAACTAGAACAAGTTTTATGGGTCATGAGCATAACAAATTTTTACTTTCACTAAATAATAAATTATAAAGAAAATAAACAGTAAGGGAAAGAATTGTGATCATGGAAATTTATTCTGAGTTTTTGACAAACTCCATGTTTTAAGGTCCCTTGAGTCCAAAAAACCAAGTCTCTCAAAATGGTTTATTTTGTGAGTGTGTGTGAGAACACAGCCTAGCTCAAAAACGAAACATACAAAACTGAAATTACATATTTAAGGAAAATATATGCCTGGGATGTTACACCTCTTTCACTAAAATCAACAACCAGAAGTGGTACACCACATAATCAATTTTACAAATTTTTCTCCATAACGGCTCTCTCTTCCAGTTTCTTGCTGCTCTTCTCCAAAAGTCCGTCTCTACTGCCAACAGTCTTTTCCAGTGTCTTGTGTTGATGACTCATGTCTCCGAAGCATATGTCGGTTAAAATAGCAAAAATTTTAAATTACTGAATTTATTACGTTTCTTTTATAATAGTGAAAATGTATAAGTCAAGAAAAGAAACATCTTATTTATATTGTCACAAAAGGAGCACAAAAAAAATCCCATTTATTTTGTTGAAAAATTCTTGTACATTCCTGTTTTTTTTTCCGATTTGAGGAATTCCCATATGATTTCCAGTTTTTGGGAATTTCCCGGTCACTGGACACCCAGAATTTAGGAAGTTTTCCTCAAAAGGAGTTCCTATACCACTTATTTTTCCTCTCTTGTCCAAACAATCCTACGAATATTCTCTTTAACGTGATATTTTCTACCTAAAACAACTTTTGATGTGGGCTGTAAGCAGTATATGGTGGGTAACCAATTGTGCTCATCATATGGTCTTGACATAAGTTAAAAAATTTTCAATTTCCTCATCATAAATAAAGTAGTCTATTGTGCTGGAGATTACATTCTCTTCCTTCAAACCTAATATTGTGGTGAAGTTGATAGAGATCTAGACTTTTATTAATTTTCTCTTTAGAATAAAAAAAGAAACTTTATTCTGGGACACAGTCCCCTCAGAATAACAATAATGAGCAAAATGAAAAAAAATACATAAATGGCCAAAGACTAACTTAATAAAAATTCTAACAATATATACAGTAATTTAACTAATAATATGTACACAACTAAAAACAAATAGAAATAAAGTCTTTTCAATAACATTTGTAGTTGTAATGTGAGCATAGAAAAAAAAATTACATATATACACTGACAGGGGAAAAATTCCACCCACTTGATTTTTTCATGTTTTCATCTAAAAATATTTCTGCTTTGGATTGGTCTATTGTTTTTAATGAATAAATAGGTAATCTTTTTGTTTGTTTTCAATTAGGAATGTTAATATAGAGGACAATAACCCTTAATCCTTAATTCAATGAAATGATTCTAGATTCCAATGTTTACTTTCTATGGAATCAAAATGTTTATTCAGTATCATTAGTTCAGTGCCGTTTCTTGCAGCACATTTCTTAGTCTCCGGCTTTTAATTTTTTCAATATTAAGTTTAAAAATGCCTCTTAGTGCTGAGGATGTTGCGCGTGGTGTGGCACTTATTGATGATGGACGTTTCATTAGATATGCAGCTAATGTCATCGGAGTTCCATATGAAACTTTATGAGACGCCGTCAGGCATTTTCGGGAAACTGGTTCTTACAATAGACCAGGCCCGGTTCTGGACGGCCTAGGTTAACAGAACCACGGGATGACCGGTTTTTGACTTTGAGAATTTTATGAAACCGGCACCTTACCGTTGTTCCAGCGATTCATCAGCTCGAAGAAGTTCAAGGTGTGCAAATTTCTGAACGTACTGCTCGGAGAAGATTAAATGAGTATGGATTAATGGTTTTTCGTCTAGTAAGAGGACCAGAGTTGACCAGAACTCACAGAGTAACACGGCTGGCTTTTGCTCGAGAACACAGCCATTGGATCATGGAAGAATGGAGTGCTGTACTTTTTACAGATGAGTCAAGATTCGCTCTTCGATCTCCAGACGGGCGTGAAAGGATGTGGAGAAGAAGAAACGAAAGATATGCAGCCTGTAATTTTTCCCAGAGCCAACCTTTCCAACGTGGTTCCTTAATGGTGTGGGCTGGGATTTCAATAGAGCGCCGCACAGAATTGGTTGTTGTTCGTGGAGGGTCTTTGACGGCCATTTGCTATGCAGATGAGATTTTGGAACCTCATGTGTTGCCTATCCTAAACGAAATCGGCGATCGTTCTATTCTAATGCACGATAATGCACGCCCACATGTCGCCCGCATAGTGCAGACGTTCCTTCAACAGAACAATATTGAGGTTTTAGCATGGCCAGCACGTTCTCCAGATTTGAACCCCATTGAGCATTTATGGGATAACCTCAGAAGACGAATAAGAGCATGTGCAACACTTCCTGATACACTGCAGGACCTTGAAAGGGCTCTTCGGGAGGAATGGGCTATCCTCCAGCAAAGGTACATTTCCCGACTGGTGGAAAGTATGCCGAGGGGTCTTCAAGAAGTAGTGAAGGCAAGAGGAGGAAACACGCGCTACTAAACGATGATGTAATTAATTTTTTTTAGAATAATAATGGTTCGTTTTTCAATTTTTTTTTCTCTAATCTTTGTTACCCAATCACATTTTGATTATTAAAGGTAAAAAAGATTATAAAATTCCATAAATACAAAGTATTAGCTACAAATACCATGTATTATATACAAATACAACTTTACAGAAATATTTTTAGATTAAAACATGGAAAAATCAAGTGGATGGAATTTTTGCCTGTCAGTGTATATATATATATATATATATGTGTGTGTGTGTGTGTGTGTGTGTGTGTGTGTAAATAAATAGAAAGAAGTTTACTAATACTACTGTATTGAGAAAAAAAATACATTTTGCCTCAATTAAGGGTATTGAATATTTAGGATGTATGAAACACAAACATAACGTATATACAATAAAAGAAAAACAAGATTATAACAAAAGAAAAGAAAAGAAAACTTGGAATAACAGAATAAATCAAACAGAAGACAACATTAAATAAAAACACATTCATACTTATTTACAATATTTACAGTCAGCCGAGGGAGCTCATTAAAAGAGAATAAAATGCTGAAAATTTACCTCACTTACAGTATAAAATCTGAATTTTAGTTTTTGAGATATTTTAAGCCAAATGTTCCAAAAAACTCTTTCATTTGGTTTTATCCTTTTCTCTTTTTGCCTCTCTAACACGGCGTCACGTCAAGATACAATGTCGAATAATATCTTATTACAAAGAAGATTAAATGCTGAACATTTCCCTCACAGTAAACAGGTCCGATTTTTAGTTTCTGAGATATTTTATTCCAAATGCAAACATTAGCTGACCTTATCAGAATGAGCATTACATAGCCTAGAGTGACAGCTTAGTCTCATTCAATATCCACTGTATAAAATGCTTCTAATGCATGCATAAAGAAGTTTTCACTCCAAATAAATATTGTATAGAATATGTATAAAAAAAAAGGCTACTCGCATGGGAGAGAAGGGTTCTCCACAGAATCTATGGCCTGGTGTGCGAATAGGGACAATGGAGAATTCGCACTAATAAAGAACTATATGAAAAGTATGCGAGGCCAGATTTGGTCTCAATTGTGTGGGGAAACCAGATCAGATGGTTGGGCCATGTGGGACGTGATTCCCAAACGCTTGCTAGAGGATCGGCCTGCTGGAAAACATGGAAGGGGAAGATCACGCCTAAGATGGCTGGACCAGGTAGAGGACAGCCTGAAAAAGATGGGAATTCGAAGATGGAGAATGCTCGCTCGGGATAGAGGAGAGTGGCGAAGGATAATAAGAGAGGCCCAGGTTCTTACAGGACCGTAGTGACAAGAATAAATAAAAAATAAATAAATAAATAAATAGAATATATGGCTGAAAAAAGGATGTGTTGTCTGGAGAAAATAAGATAGCAACATAATACCAAATAGCAAGAAAAACACCTGTTAATACAATGACTAACAAAAGAATCATTAAAATGTAACCTGAGCTATATTATTGGGTGAACGTCCTTTATCCGCCTTTCAAAAGGGTTTGACTACAACTTGAATAGGATTGTGTTAGGTTTGATCTTGAAGATTACGGCTTTAATGGATTCCTTCAGTGGATGGAGGTTTGTTAGTACTATCAACATTGAACATTAGACTTCGAAGCATGCACACACACTCGCACACAACAAAAACAACAAAAAGTATTTTGAACTCATGTTATGAGCTAGATCCTGATTTTAGCTAGATCACTTTAAAAGTGTGAAGGATGGCTGGTATAAGGACTATAAAGGCGAGGATGTCTACGATTTAATTATTATTGTATTTTTGAAATATTCTAAACAAAATTTAATAATAGTAATAATAAAATACTACATACCATTAAGGGTCATAGAAATAATAATGGAAAAGCCAAACATGCTAACTCAAGGTGAAGGGCTCGTTCAACAAATAAATAAACTGGCATCTATTTACATGCATCTATTCACACAAAAAGAAATAATTAAATATGTACAATATTTATAGGACAGGGAAAAAAATAAATATGTGAAACAAAGTAAACAGCTATAAATGGAAGTATGTTACAAATAAAAAATGATAACAGATTATGAATCAATGAATATCAAAAGGATATAAAGGCACAATAGAAAAATGGCATGCTAAGACAGATAAGTAATGAAAACGAAGGATGATCAAAAAAAATTTCTAATTATCCCTACAGGTAATTTCATTTAATTTGCCTTTAAAACACTGTTTACACTTAAAACAGTTTTAGTATCATCAATTATACAAAGCATAGAATCATTAGTTACTTTCCTATTAGAATTTTCATAGTGATGTAAACTTTCATCCTTTAATTTACTTCATGAACTATATATAAAGGATATTTTCAGTATAGCCTTAGGTTAGAAAAAAAACAAAAGCAACTTTTTCTATATTCATTTTCATCACACGCAGAAGGTGAAGTAGAGGACAAATAAAGTAACAGGAGTGCTAAGCCATATCACATGATAGTGAGACATTTCTTCTTTTAATCCTTTCTTTTCTTTTAGACATTTCTTGTTTTTTTTTTGTTTTATTCAATCCTGTCCCTACTTGCAAATCCTAATCTACCATAGTGGTCCTTTTGGGATAATGCAATTCCTAGGGTAATAATAATCACAGCAGTTAAATGTAAAAATGTTTGGTCTAGAATTATTTTTTTGTTTTTTAATAGATATTATGTATTACCTTTTTATTGCATAAAATTATTATTTTCTTTTATCGTTTTTAATAATAATTTTAAACAATAACATCTCTCTCTTCATTCTTTATAGTAATGTTTATATTAAACATCAATTACTCTCCATTCATGAATACATTAATGAAGTAAAAGCAATCCCCTCATACATTTTTCAGACACACCAGTAGCTACAACTACTACATATATCACTAACATTTCATCTCATTTGTTGTATAAATTGGTTTGGCTTCATTTAATAAGTTTTTATATTATTATTTATTTATTTCATTTTTCATCCTTCATCTGCATTCATTTTATTTTGTATGAACTTTTTGTTTTTATTTTGTTGTATTCAATGTATTCTCTCTGTTCTATTCTAATTTATATCTTTAAAAATCTTCCCCACCCTTATCTGTTGCTATTATATCTAATATAAAAAAAAAAAATACCTGATTTTAAACTTATTTTGCTTTGTATAACTTCTGTATGTGTATGATTTTATATTTATGGATTCTACTCTAGTTTTGTTATATCTCTCAATGTACTTCCACTATATTTAATTAGTTTTCTCATGCTTTGTATTCTAAGGCCTTATAAAAGCAATGCACTAGCACAAATAGGTGATCATGATTATGTAAATGGGATAATTGGCTGGGTTCGTGCATGAATCCCTATATTCGTCGCTGATTCGGTATAATGTTTGTTTATGGTACAAATCAAAGGAAGTTGCAGAAAGTAGTATTTAAGCACTAGTGTTGTTTGAGAACTTAAATAATTATATACCAGAAATTATTTTTTATTTTTAAATAAAAAAGAAGTTTACAGTAAATTTTAAAACAAAATAATTAACCGAGTGTGAGAATACTATTTTTTTTTGTGTGTGTTTGGATTAGAGGCGTTCGGGACATGTTTCAACCCTTAAAGTAAAAAAAAAATTGTAATGTGTTACAAGCCTGACTGCAACCCTAATCTTCACCTAATTAAGTATAATGAACAAAAATTATGTTATGGTTATGAAGATTACAGAACAAAATAACAGTAAAAAAGATTTTTTTAATTAAGAAAAATTGGAGCTACTTCCTGTTGGATATAATTTCAGAAAACATAAATAGGGTTGGAATGGAGATCCAGAAGTTGGAAGCATGAGCAAGATAAAATCATTCAAATTTTGTTGAACAGTAGGGAATCGTTTAAGAACAGACAGGTAAAAACTGGTTTTATAGAAACTCACTGACATCTTGAGGGTTAATAATGCTTCAATAATGTAGGAAGGAGATTGTGAGAAATGAATTATTAACAAAGCGCTAAGGAAATATTTTTTAATTAATGTACTGGGAGGAGAAGGGAACTCAAAAACAAACCCAAGGAAGAAGTTGGTGGGTCTCTTAAATCTAGCATACTTTGAGAATGTAAAGGATGAGACCACAGGATTTAACAAGTTGACAGAAGTAATTGGAGTGATGAGATCAATTGGGTGAAATGGTGTGACGGACAAAAAGAAACAAATTCAATATTTCATAAGAGGAACTACTTCCTTAGAATAATGATATACAGTATAATACAAAAGTTTTTCATGGTTGAGAGAAATTTTATGGGACCAGAAAATCTGCGTTTTTTGTTCTTCAAGCACAAAAGGACCAAGGGACAATCTTAGACACTTTTTAATAAATTTTAATTTCTAAATATTTTTTTTTAAAAACCCTGGACATTTAATGCTGTGATGGGCTTTGAGTTCTGTGCTCAGTGAAAAAGGTTTGGACAGGATCATGCTCAGCCATTAATATCCCCTCAATTAACTCTAAAGTTGTGCCTGCTTCCATCATTATAATAGTTGTGTGGTGCAAATTCCCTTTTAGTAGGGAAAATGTTTTATCACCTTCAAGTTACTTAATTATTTTGACTTATGGAGAATTGACAAATAATAAATTATTCCCTTTTATAGATTTCCTGTGATGTAACAAGGGTTATATTGCCAATCATTTTAAATAGAATCAAATTAACACTTTAGTGGCTGCTCACATATGTGATGCTATCGCCGAGAGAGGACCCTGACAACATTTGACTGCATAGATGTGTGACCATTAGTGTTAATAATTTTTAGAAGAGAGAAAATAATAATATGCCACTTCATAATCAACAATTGTCAATTTCTTCATGACTACCTGCTCATTAGAGTGCAACTTTACCTGCTAGTATCAACTGTAATGGTCCACGACTATGCAAATAGAAAAGTAACTTAATAATATTTTAGTTATTATTTATATATAATGTAATAGTTAAATTATTTTTCAAATAGTATAAGAATACGTTTTTCATTACTACTCACTTTTATATAATAGCAATTATTTTAAAATTAAAAGTTTCAAGTTAAAAACATGCACATTTAATTTACATATACATAGTTCCTATATAAATAGATATACATACATTAATATACACTTAGACAGGGTGTACTGAAAGTAGAGAGAAATATTTATAGGAATGACAGCAGACCTCCAGAGCTACGAAAAAGTTCAAAAAAACAATGGGCTTATTTTCAGCAGAAAAATAGGAAATTAAAGTTTTGTATTGATTTAAGTCACATTTTTTGTTAAATAGGAAATAATAACTAAAAACCTATTTGATTTAAGTAGTTATAAATTATTTATTGTAACCTAACCATGTTAATGTTAACAATGTTAATTTATTGTAATAATTTTTCACACAAACTTTATAGCAAAAATTATTTATACAAACTTACAAAATACATCCATTTTTTTCAAGTAATCAATAGTTTAATTGAGAACTGTTAAAGACTGAAAGAAGACAGCTAACGATTCCAATGAACTATAGGTTTAAAATTGGTAACAAATAGTTATAGTTTATAAGCACAAGTCATATATATCGTTTATAAGCACAAGTCATATATAGTTTATAAGCACAAGTCAAGGAAGATAATTTTAATCTGATGCTCTGTTTCATATTTCATATTAAGATTTGTCCTTATAAATTGACCATATCCACAGGCCTTATGAGAAATGTGCACGTTTGCCAGCATATAACCGCTGGAATAGCAAATGGCGGCCAGGTGAAGATTGATAGAGACCCTATATAGGTAGAAAACGTATATATAAAGAGGGCTTGTAGATATAGAAAGCTACCAACCCTTTCAATATATAGTATTTATTGTCTTAAGACATAAAATAACAGTCAGTTAACCCATACCCAGTTTTCAGTTTTTCGCTAATATCAGTGAAACTAAGCTCTATCTATAATAATGATATATGTGAAACTAAAGCTGACAAAGTTTGCAATAGATATGGTCAATTTATAAGGACAAACCTAAGTATGAAATATGAAACCATTTTTGCCACAGGCTCCTGGACTATCAGCAAATCAGAGTTTAATTGAGAATCAGGGATCTATTACCAAAAAATAAAACAAAATGGATGGATTGATGAGCAAACTAAAAAATGGGCAAATATAACAAATTATTTTTGTGTCATTAAAATGGCAAAAGAAAATAGCCAATACATGAAAATAAATAATAACAGCATTATACTTAAAAATGAATAAATTATATGTCTTTTGCAATGGATAATTAAGGATATGATTAATATATTAACATGATTCAGGAATAAAAAATGAATCTAAATAAGATAAGTATAATATAAAGTGTGATAATAATAAGATAAGGTGTGAAGAGAGCGGGTAATTAAATCAAAAAAGCTTTTCCATGCAAAACAAAGCAGTAGAATAACATTCACAGTTATAAATGGAAACTATATCATGGTACATAAAATTTAATAGTGACATGCTTTAACTTACTTCTTGACCATCTCCCTCTTCCCTCTCTATAGGTACTTCTTGACTAGCTACACTGCTTTCACTTCCAACATCACTATCATCCCCTTCAGGATCACCAGTAGTCTCATGATTTATGACCAATGCCTCATTCTCTTCAGAATCTTGTAATGGGCACTTAACAGTAACAAAAAAATGAATGCATATTAAAAATTAATGTTTTGAAATTGTTAGGATATGATTGAAAGATTCCAATCACAAAAATCCTTGACAATAATGGTAAACAACTAACCAATTCATGTTTCACAAATTCAGGCATCATCAGTTTAAAAAAACACAATATCAGACTGTAAATTCAACAGAAAAAAAAAATTACAAAACGTTAACATGAAAACTGTTTCATTAATAAAACATGTTTGAGAATGCGACTTTTAACCTTTTTATCAGGCATGAGCCACAAATCGGCAAATTAAGTTTTATAGCCAATAACTATGAAACTTGTCTGAGCTAGTTGCTTTCTGATTTTGTATATTTTTCAAAATTAAAAATACTGAGCCTAAAAATGCCTTTTCCAACTTGACTTATCTTTGAGCTACATGCCCCACCCATCCTTAGCTCCTTGCCTTTTTATCATGAGATATAGTCTGACCAACTTCTGTAAGCAGTTCTTTATTGGTCTTTCCTTCCAAATCTTTTAATTTGTCGAATTGGGGTGCAGGGAGGGGAGGGAGAGATTGTGTGAACAGCATCTGGTTAATATAATTAAGGTGATTACATTGCAGCACATTAAATGGGCTTGTAAAATTGTAGGACTTAGTAATAAAAGAATTCCTGTAAGGTTAATATTTCTTGTGCCAACTGGTAAACATTCAAGGAGTAGGACGAAGCGAAGGTGGGAAGATTGTGTTAAGTTAAGGCTGATTTGAAGTGACTGGGTTTGGATGGCAACCGGTGGAGGGAAGTGTGAAAATAAGCAATTGGTGGTGTCGGCATCAAACCTTCAGGTTCACTAAAACAAAAAACTCTCAGACTTCTGGAATAGCATCCACATCCCGAAAAAACATTCAAGGGAATGTAGATGGAGGTAAAAAAAAAAAAATTACTTATTTAAAAACTTTCTGACAATTCTGCACGTATCGAGCAGGACAGCTTTTTGTGCTGCTTTTCAATGCGCCAAACCCAGTCCAAGTTGTTGGGTACCCTCTACTGTACTTTTCAATATTAACCCATTAGAAGATATCATTATTGGAGTAATATTCACTTTTTCCAAAAGATATAGCGTTTATAACTCAAAAGTCAGTTCTTGATATTTTCTAATTTTTTCGGCCCTGGTGGTTATCATGTTGGTATCACAAGGTACTGCTATATCTATAATTTCTCTAGTTTTATTTATTTTGTTTATAACCAAGATATCCGGATAGTTATGCAATACCCTATGGTCCATTATTATATTTTGATCCCAGTAAACTTTTATATTCCTATTCTCATTAAGTTTTTCTGGGGCATAGCGATAATAGGGTAACTCATCACTCTCCAATAGTCCGAATTTTCTACATATACTTTGGCGATATATTTTTGTAACATTATTATGCCTCATGAGGTATTCCATTCCTGCCAGAGTATCACAGCGTATGGTCACATGTTGGATAGACTCATGTGTCCTCGAGCAAAGACGACACTTATCCGTGGCCAGATTTTCTTTTAATATATGTTTCCTATAGGCCCTGGTTGTGATAACCTGATCCTAAATAGCTATAAAAAAACCTTACGTCTCGCCATATATTTGCCCTGTCTTTAACCACTCAATTGAGAGCTCACTGTCAATCTCCGGCTCATGTAATTGGTGGTAAAATCTGCCATGCAATTCCTTTTCCTTCCATGTGGTTTTGTAAGTCAACATTTCTCACTTCTGGTCGAATTGGATCTCCAAAATTCTGGGCAGTGTAACTTTCATCCAAGTGATAATTGGAGATGCATTTGTAATAAAATATTCCTTTAGTGAGTTTTCTTGTTTTCGGCAAGAGTCCTCAATTGATATAAGGCCACGGCCTCCTTCTTTTCTTGGCAAATAGAGCCTTGCCTTGGATGCCTTTGGGTGATGAATCTTAGCATCTGTCATTATTGTACGCTCCAGACGGTTCGTTTCTTGAAGTTTAGTAGCTGACCATTTTATTACACCAAAACTATATGCTACCAACAGTATCGCCCATGTATTAATGGCATGGATTTTGTTTTTACCATTTAGATAACTTCTGAGAATCTGAAGCAGTCTCATCTTGAACTTGCTAGTTATTTCACTAAGTATCTCCTTCTTGGCTATCTTAAAAGCCTGCTTAATACAGGTATTTATAAAACTCTCCTACAGACTGGTGTCTCATTAATTCTCCTGACGGAAGCTGCAAGGAACTGCTATCCTTAACTTTCTCTTAAGTAACATTGAGTGTGGTGCACTTTACGATACCAAACGACATGCAGATTGATTTACTGAATGTTGACACAAGTTCAATCATGCATTGTAGCTGGTCCTTATTTTTTGCATATAACTTAAGGTCGTCCATATACGAACTGTGGCTGATGGTGAATCTCTGGTCACCTATTTTTAATTGGTATCCAAGTTTGCTGTTTCGGAGGATATGACTTAATGGTGCTAGAGCTAAACAAAACCATAGTGGTCTTAGCGAATCTCCCTGATAAATTCCCCGACAAAGTTTTATTGTTTCAGTGTTATAACTTTCTTGGCCTCTAACCACTTTCATTCTAGTGCTCCATGATGTCATGCTTTCTTAGGAGGTTTTTAGAAAGTTATTATTATTATTGTATTTTATAACACTTAAAAAAAAATTTATTTTCCTGAAGTGGGGAACAATTAAACTTCAATCACTTCATTTCAATTTTTGTAGTTAAATAATCTATTGGATGTTTAGGAAGCTCCTTACAATTCCCACAGTGTTCAGCAGCACAGCTTTCTGGGCTTTATTAATTGTGGCTGTTGAGAGACCCAACTTCTCGGTAGCTTGTACAGTGGATTTTGGTATCAGCCCATTGCTAGAGATCACAAAAGCCTTTACTGTCACTTTGTTCAGTCTGTACAAATATTTTAGCTCTACTGCAAGAGTTTAATATTTCCGAATTTCTTCGGCGCAGACGGAGTTAGTGTTTCCATCATTTGGCACAGCAATATCTGTCTTCAAATTACTATCGATCAACATGATATCAGATCTGTTATGGATCACTGTATGGTCTGTTATATAAGATTGATTCCTTTCTTCTGGATAAGTTTTTTAGGGTTGTACTTATAATAAGGTATCAAATCATTCATTAACTTTCTTTTTAGACCAATTACCTGATGATAAATTTTTTCAACATAGTCATGCCTCTTGAGGTATTCTTTACCAGCCAGCGCTCCACCCCCTCCAGTTATATGCTGAATAGACTCAAACATACCGGCACAGAGCCTACACTTGTCTGATACGGTCTGCTTCTTCAAGACATGTAGCAAGTAAGACCTCGTTGCTATGACCTGATCTTGGATTGCTGTTAGAAAGCCCTCTGTCTCAAGAAACAGATTTCCTTTAACCAGCCAACTAGTAGACAATGTTTTATCTATTTCAGTTTATTGGAGCTGGTGAAAAAATCGTCCGTGCAGAGTTTTTGACTTCTATTCTTCCAGTCGGTCATTGTCCTTGAAAATGATGGATGCAGCAGTTTCTGGCATAGCTAATTGTAATGCTGTGAGTCCATGGTCGAGATTGCACATTATGTTATGAAAAGGTACCTCGCTTCGTTTGAAGTACCCTCTGAGGGTCATTTCTTGTTTTCGGCACGCCTCTTCAATGTTTATGAGTCCTCTCTCACCTTCTTTCCTTGGAAAATAAAGCCTTTCCCTAAATGTAGTCGGGTGATGCATTCTGGACTTAGTCATGCTCGTCCGTATAAATCTATCAAATTCCTGGAGTGATGTAGACCATTTTAAAATTTCGAAACTGTAAAATATGGCTGGTATAACCCACGAATTTAAAACTTTTATTTTCTAACATGAGGATAGGTATGTTGTAAGAATAATTTTTGTAAGAATAACTAACCAATCTCTTTTTCGACGACTCTATTAGTCTGTTTTTTGCCCCTGCTCACTATTTTAACATGCTGCTCTATCCCAAGATATTTATATAGTTCTTCCTTTTTTAGGTATTTAATATGCAATGCTTCATTAAATATGTTCTCAGAGTTACTACGGAATCATTTAATCACATGAAGAACAGCACATTTCTCTCAATATCGAGTGACATGTGTATTGAGTCACTTAATTGGGTTACAGTATTTAGCATAGATTGCAATTGAGATTTGTACTTTTTTTTTTTGGGGGTCCTCCCCTTCCTCGCCTTTAAGGCTATACGAGGTTTTCCCGGGCCAGGGGGTGTGGGAGGAGATTTAAAAGACTCCCCCGGCACCGGGACGCGAACTTTGCTTAAAGTTTTAAATCGTCCATATAAAAACTGTGGCTGATTACTGCACTCAATTCATTAAGCTTTATTTTGTATCCATTCCCCTCTCAATTAATGGAGCCATTGCAATACAAAACCATAGGGAGCTGAGGCAGTCTCCCTGGTATATACCTCTCGAAATTTTAATGTACCCCAGAGGGTCTATTAATTGCTCATGTCCTATCCTCAATCTTGTTTTCCAGCTGTTTCTTCAGAAGTTTCAGTTAAACATGGATGAACTTTATACAAATCCAAGACTTTTAACAGCCAGCTGTGAGGGACCGAGTCAAATGCCTTTCAGTAATCAATCCATGCTATCGACAAATTTCTTTTATTCGTGGTCATTTGGCCTGTAATAAACGAGTCTATAGGCAACAGCTGTTTACATGCTCGGGCTCCTTTCCCAAAACCAAGATGCTCCATTGGGATCAAATTATTGAATTTTAGGTGACATTCAATCTTATTTGATAGAATAGATGTTAAAATCTTATAACTCCATTGAGGAAAGTAAATGGTAAGTAATCGGTCTTGTGGTTCCAATTGATCTCCTTGTTTTTTAGGAATTAGAACGGTAATACCCTGACAGAACGTGGTAGGAATGTCTATCTGTCCTCTCATAATTTTTATAGTTCATTTTAAGTATTTTGTGCAAAACAGATTAGGTTTTTCAACCAATAATTTTGGATTTTATCACTG